AAACTCTATATGCCATTTTCTACGGAGGAGGATCAAAGTTAGTCGGACTTAATCGGTTAAGAACAGTGATTTAAAAAGGCATTCGGGTGCTTGCCTAGGTGCTCGGGCGAGGCGAGGCGAGGCCCAAGTACCTCGTTTCACTTCCAAGCAGCGCACTTCAAAGAGGCACCGCTTGGGCGCTCGCTCGAGCCTAGGCGCTGAGCACTTCGGGTGAGCGCCTAGGTTAAACCAAGCGACCGAACTAGTGTTTTAGGTCTGGTTCGATCTTCGGTGTTTTAGTTGGTTCAATCGAACCAACTAAAGCATCGATATCAGCTGTTGCTGCCCAACCCTAACCCTGCTCATTGTCGCTGCCACTCCCGTTGCTCGTCACTCCCGCTGCCGCTGCTCGCCGCTGCCACTATCGCTGTTCGCTGCTGCTGCCGCTGTCGCCGCTCCCACTATCGCTGCTCGTCGCTCCCGCTCTCGCTATCGTTGTCGTTGCCGCTTCCTCTTTTCTCAGTCAGCACCCCCTTACACTCCTCTTCCTTCTTCTCCTTCTGTATACTATTAACAATATACAGTATACTATTAATAATATACTAATAATATTATTTATATTTATTAGATTAATAATATATTATTTTAATTTTAATATTATTAATTTTTATTTATTTGAAATTATTGTTAGGTTTCAAGATAAATGGTAAGTATATAGAGCAACTCAATAGAGTATCCAATGACATCAAAAAAAGATCCTGCATGGAAGTATAATTATCTGAAGGATCCGAAAGATCCTAAAGCAGTGACTTGCATATTCTACAATAAAACTACTAGAGATAGTATTTTTCATGCAAAACAACATATAATAGGAAATTTCAAGAATGCAGCAGCTTACAAAAGTGTCCACCTGATGTAAAAAAAGAGTCGCTAAGTTATATGAATGAAAAGAAGACACAAAAGAATGAATCTTACAAGAATTTACCAAAGATAATATTGAACATCTCACGGATGAAGAAGAAGATTATTCTATGAGTATTAACCTAAGTGGAAAAAAAATATACGATAAAAAAGGAAAAGAAGTTATGAGTACTAAGAAGGGTAAAAAAAGGACCGATGGATCTATATATGTTTCAAGGATCCCAGAAGCAACAAGGGCAAGCAGGAGTCTCAAAATTTAGACAAACAAATATAAGTGATGCTTGTGATAAAGAAATAAGAGGAAGAACAATTCAACACATTGCTCGCTTCTTCTATCAGGCTAGTCTTCCCCTTAGTACAACTCGTTTATATAGTTTTATGGATATGATTGAAGCTATTATTGGAAGATATGGTGCGGGATTAAAACCTCCAAATTATTATGAGATGCGAGTTCTATTGTTGCAAAAAGAGTTGAATTATATAAATGACTTACTAAAGGGTCATAAAGAATCATGGGCAACACATGGTTGCTCTATTATGTCAGATGTTTGGACTGATAGGAGGCGCATGAGTATAATTAATTTTATGATTAATTATTTTTTAGGGACTATGTTTGTGAAGTCAATAAATGCTTCATCTTTTGTAAAATCTGGAGACAAGATATATGATTTACTTGACAACTTCATGGAAGAAATTGGAGAATAAAATATCGTTCAAATCATAATCAACAATGGAAGCAACTATATATTAGTTAGTAATATTCATCTTTTAAATTTTTTAATTATTTTATCTTCAATTAAATATATCAAACTCTTAAGTCTTATCATTTTTGTTATCCTTTGTCTCAAGTAAATTGCTTGAAACAAAAAGACCACTTATATTGGACTCCACGTGGAGCACATTGTATTGATTTAATGTTGGAGGATATTAGAAAGATCTTAGACATCAAGAAAACCCTAGAAAGTATAATTTTTATTATTGGATTTCTTTATAATCATATTAGGGCTTTGAATATGATGAGAGAATTTACAGGGAACAAAAAATTAGTGAGATATGGTGTCACCCGATGTGCTACTTCATTCTTGATATTACAGAGTGTGCATCATCAAAAACATAATCTGATAAACATGTTTACCTCTGAGAAATGGATGACAAGCAAATGGGCAAAAGAAGCAAAAGACAAGAGGGCTACTGATATCATCTTAATGCCATCCTTTTGGAATCATGTAGTTTATACATTAAAGGTAATCGGCCCTCTTGCTCGAGTCCTTCGGTTGGTAGATAATGAAAATAAGCCTGCAATGGAATATATTTATGAGACTATAGATAGAACAAAGGAGACAATTAAAAGGTCTTTTAATGAAAATAAAGACAAATATGAGAAAATTTTTACAATCATTGGCGAAAGATGGAATTGTCAACTTCATCGTCCGTTACATGCAACAGGATATTATTTGAACCCTGAATTCTTTTATAAGATTAAATCTATTTGGTTTGATGCAGAAGTTTTGAATGAGTTATATTAATGCGTTGCAAGATTAATTCCCAGCCTTGAGGTTTAAGATAAGATTATTCGTAAATTATCTTTATATAAAAATATCGAAGGTCTTTTTGGAATTTCAATGGTCGTTCGATCTAGGACAACTACGTCTTCAGGTATTAATAATTTGATATAATTAATTTTCATATATATTATGTTACTATGTTATTGCTAATAATAACATAAATTTTGCAGTTGAATGATGGAGTCTATTTGGAAATTTCACCGTGAACTTACAGCAATTTGCTATCAAAGTATTTAGTTTGACATGTAATGCTTCGAGTTGTGAGCGAAACTGGAATGTCTTTGAGCATGTAAGGATCACTAAATATTTTTATTTTAATTAATTAATTTATTTAGATAGATGTATTAGTATATTTTTAAATAATATGATATGACAGATTCACTCGAAGAGAAAAAATCGATTGGAACATCAACGATTGCACGATCTTGTTTACATAAAGTATAATCAAGCTTCGAAGGCTCGTCATGATTTGTAAAATAGAATTGATTCAATCTCATTGTAAGATATTGATGATTCAAATGAGTGGTTGGTAGGAGAAATGAGTGCTAACTTGTAATATGCCAAAGATGAGCTTGTATTTGAAGATGATAGATTGACATGAGGAGATGTGGCAAGAGCTTCAGGTACTGGAGAATTACAAACATATATAAGACAGATGACAAAGGGAAAAATGAGTGCAAAAACATCAAGATCGGCTCCTGCTATTATTGAAGACATAGAGAATGAAATATATTTTTGATGAAGAGGAAGAAGTCGAAGGACAAGAGGAAGAGGACGAATTGAATGAAGATGATTTGTGTGAAAATGATGATAATATTGATTATAATGAATGATTTTAATGTAAAATTTTATTGTTTTGAATTTTGAAACTTTTTGTTAATGTGATATTGTGATTTTGTCTTAGATTTTCTTAATTTAATAGCATATTTTTATTTAAAATTTTAAATAATTATATTTATTAATTATATTATATATTTTTATATTTTAGCGTTTCGCTTCGCTCGGACGAGCACCTAGCGCCTTGGGTATTTTTGGGCCTTGGCGTCTTTTTGACGCCTAACGCTTTTTAAATTATTGATTAAGAAATGAATAACATTCTCAACCACTCTTGACCTTGGACCAAATTGTGTGTGATGATGGTGAGACTCCAACCATCATTTGGACAAAAGGTAAAATACCTTTAAAGTAATAGATTTAGTCGAGGAGCATAAGAAGCTGACCAATATTTTATTATTTTCAACATCATCTTTAAATTGACTATATTTTATAGTGACTCAAAGACCATGTTTATGCACCAGAATGTTCAGCTGCATTGTTGCTATACTAGACTTGTTTCTCCCAGTCACTAAATAACTATGATTCAGTACTAGTCGCAAAATTCATGAAAAAAGAGAATAAAAAAAATGCTTTCTACTATAATTTTTTTTTCTTTCTAGAATCCTCTTAAATATACCAGCAGAACCTTGTCAAATATTTCTAAGCTTATATATTTCTGACCTTTCCTCAAAGATTATTATGCCTGTTGGTGAACAAATGCAGAAACAAGTCTCAACCTAGCCAGTCTACATCACAAATACAAAGTCCTTAAGGAGGATAGCTAAACATGATACGATGTTGTTCTACTCTGTGTCTAGTTGATGCAGTATAATAAATAAAGAAACCACCCAAACGATGTTGTTGCAGTATAAATACGATTGTCGTTCTACTCTGTGTCTAGTTGAATCTGAATTGTTTTGTTCGTCTTTTTGGCCAATATATATTATCGTTAAATTCTGATCAGGGACGAATATTGCCGCCCCTATCAATATGAAAAGATTGTATAGCAATTAGGATTTCTCGACTATCTTTCTTTCTTCTCGGTGGTAAAACCAATCTAATTGACACCTTTGTACCTTTTCATTCTTCCCCAATCTGTTCAAGCTAATGTTTTGACGCCATGGAGACTTCAAACGCCTTGAAAGACGCGACGCGTTCTCTCCGACCCAACTAAAACGTATTGACATGAATCTAGTTTTTATTGTTTGGAAGCTAATAGCTTCTCAACCATTGCTTACATATCTAAATGCAAAATATTTTCGAGGTCATATAGAATATAAAAAATATATATTTTTATTCATCAATTATTAAACATGGTTCGATAGAAGATATAATGAGAGAGATGACTATAATTAGTATTGATGGTGAGAGAAGAATCACAGATTACAAAGACAAAAAAAAAAAGAAAAAAGAAAGCAATATCAATCGATCATTCATTATCACCGGCAGATGCATCCAATATTGCAAGTGGAAATTTCCTGTCTGCATTTTGATAGGGATTACAGTCTGTTTTGTCATTTCCTTCACGTTAGTTTGCTCTCTCTCTCTCTCTCTCTCTCTCTCTCTCTCTCGACTGTTGACTGTGGAATACTCTGCATTGAAAATGCTTCCAGGAAATTCTCTTGTGCTGACTTAGAAGACAATGTAGTCTTTGTTTTCTTTGGTCCAACGAGAAACATCATTGTGAATGTACCCTCTCATCGATGAGCCCTACTGCTTCCTACAAATCCTCTTGCATCCATCACCTGCACCCAACCTTCTCCTCTCCTCACCTTTGCTAAGGGCAGATTCGGCATCACCATGATACAAGAGGAGGAGTGCGACGTAGTCCTCCGTCTCGCAGTAGGAGGCGGGGAGAAGACTCCAGTTCGAGAGATCTCGGAGAGGCTCATGAGACCGGCAAACGAGAGAGAGGAGGCGGAAGGCACGAGAAGGAAGCTGAGGCTCTCCGAAGAGCAGCTGAGCTTGCTTGAAGATAGCTTCAGAGCCCACAACACGCTCGCCCATGTCTGCACCCCTGTATCATCCATCCTTGTTATACCCATGGATTTCAGCTCTTGCTTCCGCGGGCTAACCATCGACCTCTCTTGGCAGGACGAGAAGCGAGAGCTGGCGCAGAGGTTGCACTTACAGCCAAGGCAAGTGGAAGTATGGTTCCAGAACAGAAGAGCCAGGTAGAACTGCAACTCTCCTCTACCCTATTCGGATCACGTAATGTGTCTTCATGGACTGGTCCTGTATGATCTGTAGGAGGAAACTGAAGCAGACCGAAGAGGACTGTGAGTCCCTTAGGAAGTGCTGCCAGAGGCTCACCAACGAGAACAGAAGACTCAAGAGGGAGTTGATGGAGCTGAGGGCAGCGAGGCTAATAACGTGTTCCTCGTGCGAGAAGATAGCGAGGGACGAGAAGAAGACCATTAATTCCTGAGAAGCTTAAGATAGCCAGCCTGAGGAAGGGACATGTAACTCACGATTCAAGCTCTAGATTAGTCCATGTTAATAAGAAGTGATTGGTCTGACTGCTGTTTCTCAAGTTTTATGCACGGTTCATCATCCATGGCAAAGTAACTTGTAAGAGATTAGGATTACAGAGTTGCAGCTCTATCCATGTCCCGCTATCAAATAGATGACAGTCATGATGATGCTCCCTAACAATGGGGAAGTTTCCAAGGTTGAAGTCCATGATTTGGTGATTTGACTGGTCATGCATAGGAAGGGACTGATAATTAACTTGTTGGATCATCTCGGAATGAGGCAGAAGATTCAACGTGTCAACACATCCCCTCTTCTAATACGGCTTAAACATTGTACTGCTCCCCAATGATGTTGTGTTGAGTGGACTGCAGCAGCAGTCCTTGGGAATCCTCCAAGCTGAGCTGAGCTGTTGTGCAATTGGATTGCTGGAAGAGAAAGATAAGTTAAGATCGTGGTGCAAACATTTCATATTCAAAGATAGATAAATTTCCAGTTAAACATCACAACAAATTAATATAAATTGCAATGGTGGATTAATGTTGTGTCTATGAGAGCCATCACATGCTAATTAAAGTTGTGTCTGCTAATGAGGTCAAATCTTGTAGCCGATTAGTGTACATTAAAGCTTTCCCTGCAACTAAATGAAAGCCTTTGCTGCATTGGAAACTTCACAGTTGCATAAACTCCGCATTAAGTTGAACTGTTGCATTCATCCAAATTAATGTTTTCGTCACATCTCAGAGGCTATTTTGGGCCAGCATATGCTTTGGGAGGAGAGTGGTCAGAAAAAGCTGACATGTATAGATCTGGAGTTCCAGTGCTTGAGATCTTTAGTTGCAGAGAGAACACAGATCTTTATCTTCCAAATGAGCCGCAAAATGTTCCACAATCTGTTGCTCAGGATATGAGAAATCCAAGCTGCCAGACTCAATAGAAGATGGTGGCCTGGAAAAGGAGGTGCTACAGTTTTGTCATATTGCCCTGCTGTGCCTTTACCCACCATATCCAAGCTGTCGACTGAACCATCACCAACTCCAGTGAAACCAGCATTGCTGAGAGAGAGAGAGAGAGCGAGCGAGCATGGTTTTTTGACATCAATTGTAGGAGATCAAGTTGCAGCATCATATGACAAGGAAGATGAAGGTGTTATGTGTCTGTGAGAGAGAGAAAAAGAAAGAGGAGATCGCAGACAATTATCTTGCAGAGTCTGCAAAGAACTCATGTGCTCGCTGACGGTCCTTATAGCATTGCTTATGGCCTGCCGAGCAGTAGCAGCTATTCAATTGCCACATAGTGGTATTAACTCTTCAACCTATTCATCTTTGGAGTACGAATGATACAGTGGTTTGAAATACCAAACATATTACTCAGTCAAAATTCAAGAATAATATTAAATCGATCTGTGTGATCGGAGTAAATAATATATGAGCACCTGGAAGCTTTACTTCCACACTCCCAATACAAACACACACACAAATATATATATATATATATATATATAAACACTAGCTTTCAGATCACCCAATAATACTGTCAAAATCAAAAGGATTCTTTTTAGACAAACCTTCCATATCTAAAAGAAAAGAAAAGGAATAAAAAGAAGACAAGACCAACTAGACTCCGACAAGCCATGAAACTACTAAGCTATGCATATATATATATATATATATATGTTCGACGATTTGTTCACCTATTATGCAAGGGGTTGGGGCCGGTCGGCACGAGTCGCTTATCGTCCTCCACCAAGCTCTCGTTCTTCTCCGCCGGCGTGAAGTAGCTGCAAAGATCGAACCGCTTCAGCTTGCATCTGTGGGGATGGATGGTGACGACGTCGGCAGCCGACTCCTTCGCCGATGTCCGGTACTCATCCGCTTTCTGACGATGGTGGGTGTGCTTCCTGCTGACACTTGGAGCGAAACCATGCAAGCCGGCAAAGCAAAGGATTAAGCATGCGACCAAGCCTGCTCGAGCCCATCTCCTCCTCATGCTTACTGGAAGAGACTCTAAAGAATATGGAAGAGAGGCCAAAGGCTTAAGAATGGAGGATGGGGGGAGCCAAAGAGGAAGTCAAAGAGAGTAATTACAAAGGTTCCTCGGAGGTACAGTCGCATCTATGAGACATCCACATCCCTGCATCAGTGGCCTCGCACCAAGCTGCATTAATGCGTTCTCAGTTCTCTTGCAGGCATAGAACTAAAGGCCAGAGAGGGAAGCAGAGAGATAAATATGAGAAAGAGAAACCAACGTACAGCGAGACCTGATCATAACACCTATTTAGAAGAAAAAGGCTTACAAGTTCTCATTTTGTATATTCCTACTCTCTCTCTCTCTCTCTCTCTCTCTCTGTTGTTGTCTGAGATAAGCCCTAGAGAGTGTTAGAAATATAGCTAGGAAGGTCACCAAGAAGAAGAAGAAGAAGAAGAGACAGAGGGAAGGGAAAGAGGTGCTGAGGTTGTTGGAGACAAAGCCAAAGGAAGAGTGGCCTGTAAAGACTTCTCCATCATAAATCTCTTCTTTGTTTCCTTTCCACTTGGAGGGCACTGTTTGCAGAAAACAATACCACCTTCCAACTACCATTTCGACCTTCATCACTCCACTGTATACTTCTCATGCTGTGTTCCAACAGTTGTCTCAGCTAGGAAAATGTTGTATCGTAATATGTTCCCTTATTTGCTATCCTTGCCCATTAAAAACAGTCTGTTCTGACATCAAAATTGCTCTCAGTTAGTACTCGTGGAAGTATATGTTCAAGTAATTAAAAACCTTTAGGGATTTTGAAAAGGTTGATGCATGTTTGAGGCATTATCCATCCATCACATATGTAAGTACATATATTCCAAGTCCTCCACTGTGCAGCTGGGTAAAAGAGGCACAGCTGGTTGGTCGATATGAATTGAGGCCGACAAGGGAAGAGGAATGCCACCTTTCTTCGAGGTAGGGCAGCCCAAGGTGACTTGCAGTGGATTCCTCTGTAACCCTTCATGCAGTCCATATCCCCAGAGGGATGCAACTCTGCCCAGCTTCATGAGGGAGTTAGTGGTGGAGTATTCATTGGTGTCATCATACAAGGAATATTGAGCCTGGAGAGAGAGAGAGAGAGAGAGAGAGAGAGCCCATCTTATATTCCTTTCCTTTCTTTTGGATCAATCATTCTGCCCATGGCATGCGCTGCACAGAATGGCACACCAAAATTCCCAATGGTCACATTCCCACTTATTCCACAAACGTAACTGTAGAATCATCGCCATCCTTTCTAGATCCTACTGCTCTTTGATCAAGCTCGTAAGCTTCATGAATGCTTTAACAACCCATGGCATCTGTAGGTTTGTTTCCTACAACACAACTCTTTTCAATGGTACTCGAAGCAGTAAACCAGGAACTCCGACACATTTGGTTATTGGAAGCTCCTTAATCAATTTCACTGCAAGAAAATGATTAAGATTTAGTAGTTCAAGATCAAGTTTCAATTGGTGTTATGTGCATTCTCAGCTCCAACTCAAAGAGTAAATATATGTTGGCAACTCGAAGATGCTCTCATTCGCGTATCATTTCACATGTTTCTTAGATATGGAAGCCCCAGTTAAAAGTGTCCTACTCATTTAGCTGCCTGCATAAGGGAGATGAAATTGGTCAGAAGTTTGTTCACATGTTTCGACTTGAAACGTTGCAGTATGTCTTCCTTCAAACAATGATGGAGAAGTGACCGAGGCATTAAGTCAAGTCCACCTTTTATTCCTATGAACCCATGTTGGTACCTTTTACAGGACTCATACCATTGCAGGGGCTATGTTCTTCTCACCTTCAAGTCTGAAACAAAGTGTGCAGATATTAGCAAAGATTCATAAAAAGAAGAATGAAGTAAAACATGTAACCGTTATTATTAAATATCTAATTTAATAATAATATAATTATTCTCATTAAGATTCATAATTCATTATCATGAATTTCTTCATTTATTATGATTTAAATGAATTTAGTTTTTTATTCTTTATACATGAAACCGTTATTATTAAATTAAATATTTAATATCATTAAAGTTCTTATTATGGTCCAAACGTTATAAATTTGAATTAATTCTTGAACGTTATGAATTGGTGATAATAAATGTTCTTGATGGGAGAACATATATATATATATATGAGGATTTTGGTCCCTGGGCTTAATCATCTCTTTGAAGCAAAAATGCTTTCCTACACCATCTAAAGCGAGAGTTCTGAGCTGAGAAGTGCCAAAGTTCAAGAAGAAACCTCTGTAGAAATTCTCGACAATAATGACTGGAGGTACGCTATTTTATTTCCGCATTAGTTTTATTGTGTTTCTATTATAATGATTTAGAAACACAAGTTGGCTTCAATGGTTTTCTTACATTTGGTATCAGAGCGTTTTGACCTCTGCCTTGATACGAAATAGTTTTCATTTTTATGCCATGAAAATGATTTGATTTTGGTTTCTTCTTGGAAACTTCTTGATGTATTTTGTTAAAAATCATGAAGAAATATCATTTTCAATATTTTTAATCGGTAAAATGCTCATATTACGTATACATATTTAATTATATAAAATTATGCTTATGAGCAAATTTTTTATATTTAAAATGTCTACTGATCCATATAATCTTAATTAATTAAGAATTAGCCACAACATCCTTAATTAATTAAAATTATATATAAAATTAAAATAAAGATCACATAAGTAATTAGACAGCATATTGTGATTGATTATATTTCATATAATAATTATTATCTCACAAGATCTTTTATTATATTTAATATAATTAATTAGGATAAAATATCAGATTATTTTCATAATTTACCCATGGGGATTATGAATTAGAATATAATTTGATAGTTTTATCATAAAGACCATTTGAATCTATTTGAATTAAGAATTCAACCCACAAGTAATTTTTATGTCATGAGATTCATATTTTTGGCATGTTTCATATTGGTAAAACATGTAATTTAGTCCTTCAAATTTTGACATAAGTACGTTTGATTTTATGCAGTTTCTCAAACTGTTAATTTCTTTGATATTCGATGTGATATTCCTGAACTTAATGGTGATAACTATAAGATATGGAAGGAGAGAGTTCTCTTCCCTTTAGGGTGGATGGATATTGATTATGCTATAAGAAAAGACGAACCACCTATAGTCACTAATACCAGCACTCCAACTGAGATCACGTTATATGAGCGATGAGAGCAATCCAATCGGCTCAGCGTGATGTTTATCAAAACTAAGATAATTGTTGGTATACGTGGTTCCGTTGACCAGCATGAAAATGTCCGAGACTTGCTACAAGCTATTGATGAGCAATTCGTCACTTCGGATAAGCATTAGTAAGTACCCTTATTATGAAATTTTCACCCCTTAGACTCACCAACATAAAGGGTGTGCGTGAGCACATAATGCAAATGCGAGATATTACGGCTCAACTTAAGAAACTTGAGGTTAATATGTCAGAATCCTTCCTGGTACACTATATTATGAACACCCTTCCACCTCAATATGACCCTTTTAAAATTTCATACAATACACATAAGGGCAAATGGTCAATCAATGAATTAATGACTATGTGTGTTCAAGAAGAAGAGAGGCTAGTGATGGAATTGGGTGAGAGTGCATTGGTAGTTGCCACTCGCGGGAAGAACAAAACTAACAAACATCAAGCCAATCAGAAAGCTCATCAGTAGGGAAAAGGTAAAATATTACCCAAGCTGATATCAAGAAAGAAGCAAGGTGTTTCTTTTGTAAAAGAAAGGGACACATGAAGAAGGAATGCACAAAATTTCAACAGTGGCTTGAAAAGAAAGGTAAACCAACCTCATATGTATGTTATGAATCTAATATGGTAAATGTTAATATTAACACCTGGTGGATTGACTCTGGATCAACAATCCATATTGCAAACTCTTTGCAGAGTATGCAAAACCTAAGGAAGCCAGTGGGAAGTGAGCAAAGCATCTTATCAGGAAATAAGATGGGCTCACATGTGGAAGCAATAGGAACAAGCATTTTAACTTTAAGTAGTGGTTTTGTTTTAAAATTAAAAAGAACCTTTTATGTACCAAGTTTCTCATGAAACTTAATTTCTGTTTATAGACTCGTACCATTTGGGTATTCCTTTAATTTTAAAGACACATCATTTCGTTTATTACATAAATCTAATTGTGTTGGGAATGATATTTTGTCTGATGGTCTTTACCATATTTTATTACAAAATGATAATACTCAAAGTTTAATGCATGTTCACGCTGACATTAAGAGGTGTAATATTAATGAAGACTCCTCTATATTATGGCATCGGAGATTAGGACATATCTCTATAGAGAGAATTAAGAGATTAGTTAAAGATGGGGTACCTAGTACTCTTGATTTTACTAATTTTAAGACTTGTGTGGACTGTATTAAGGGAAAGCAGACTAATAAGTCCAAAAAGGGTGCTAATAGGAGTTCAGACTTATTAGAGATAATTCATACTGATATATGTTGTCCAGAAATAAACATACATGGTCAGAAATACTTCATCTCCTTTATAGATGATTACTCACGATATATGTATATATATTTGCTTCATAACAAAAATAAAGCATTGGATGCCTTCAAAGTCTTTAAGGCTGAAGTTGAGAACCAATGTGGTAAACAAATTAAAATTGTGAGATCAGATAGGGGTGGAGAATATTATGGTAGATATACTGAAAATGGACAAGCACCTGGTCCTTTTACTAAGTTTTTTCAAGAACATGGGATTGTTGCCCAATACACTATGCCTGGTTCTCCAGACCAAAATGGTATTGTAGAAAGAAGAAACCGAACATTATTAGACATGGTGCGGAGCATGCTTAGCAACTCCAATCTTCCTGAGTTCTTATGGATTGAAGCACTAAAGATGACTGTGTATATATTAAACTGAGTTCCAACCAAGGCTGTCCAAAAGACACCATTTGAATTATGGAAAGGTTGGAAACCGAGTTTGCGACATATACGCATGTGGGGATGTCCGTCTGAAGTCAGGATATATAATCCACAAGAGAAGAAACTGGACCCGAGGACTATTAGTGGGTATTTCATTGGATATGCCGAAAAGTCTAAATGTTACATGTTCTATTGTCTATCTCACACAACTAGGATTGTGGAATAAAAAAATATTAAATTTCTTGAGGATGATGTGATTAATGGGAGCGATCATTTCAGGAACATAGTTTCGGCACATGATCATATATAATCTCAACCTTCCACATCAAATGATAGATTGGTTATAGTTCATAGCACTCCTCAAGTACAAACTAGTGCTGAACAACCAATCATTAAAATTCCACAAGTTGTTGATAGTATTCTAATAGATTAAGCAGTTGACGAATTACAACAAGCTCTTTGAACAACTAGTTGAACCACAAGTTCCTCAAGGAACCATTGGT